ATTTTATTTCCATTATATACCTCACACTTTCGTTGATATAGTGAAACTTATAATATTCAAATCGATACGCCGCGGTTCACAAAAGTATTCGAACACATCTCCCGGAGAAGAATTTTTATGTATACATGTAACATGTAAAAAAATTTGATATTCCAATACTGGTGCGATAACAGATGATTATTATGGTCCAGTAAAATATTGATAAAATTTGAAATTGAATATACGTAGAAGTGAGAAGATATTCAAACATATATTCAACAAAACACTGGTATGTGCTACCTTTTAATGTGCCAATCATTGGAAAACAAGTAAAATTTTCTTACTTTCTTCTCGAAATAACTTCTGTAATTTCTATAATAAATTTGATCAACATAATAATTATGGTTGAGCCTCACCACAGTGTTATGAAATATCGTTTTCACACGTATTCGAATACTTTCGTGATCAAATGCAAATTGACATAAATTGAAAGCAAATTCGATGAGTGAATCAGGAAGTATTTTACTTAAGTATAAGTATTTGTATAATTTTTCGAAATGCGTCTTTCTTAATTGATAGCAACCGGCAAGGCAAGAAATCGAGCAACGAGTCGGTGTTTCCTGCGTTTCCGGAGGCCCTGTATTTTGCAGAGTAAGCCTGGACAGAGGTGGATACGTACCCGGTGAAACTATCGGGATCTCAGCGACCGTCAGCAATCGGAGCAAAGTATGTATCGTATTTCGATTCGATGGCTAACCAAAAGAATTTCTATCTGGGAATAAGATCAGCATAATATGACACCGTCACGTATTACACCAATCTGCAAATGTTTCCCTCGCCTGAAATTCACGTGAAGCATGTTAACAAAATAGTGAAGTATTATTTACAACAGAATGAAAATTTTCATTTAAAAGAAAAGAAAAGAAAAACATTCGTCTACATTGTCGCTTTCAGAATCGAAGAATTTTTACTAATTATAATTATACGCTGATCATTTCATTTTTGTCAATTTTAATTACAAAGTGCAAAAATAAGTGAAAGTAACGCGACACTCCAAGCATCTTAATTACAATCAGTATCATACTAAAATTGTTTTCATCCTTTGCATTAAAATTTCTTTTAAAATTTCACGACGGTATGAATGTTGATATAATCCGACAGCGAAACACATTGCAAACAATACAGCAATTACTCCTTGTGTTACTGCGTTGTGTGATGCAAGATCCACATTTAAGTATACATATAGGATCGAAATGATTCAACAGGTGACGATGAAATCGACTAAAGCATCCTTGACCGAAACAATTCAGTACCTGTGCCGTGGTAAAGTGCTCGCGAGCGAGACGCGAGAATTAGCCAGCGTTTCCAGGGGGAAAATCCGCCCTGGAGAAGGCGAGGAATGGTTGAACGAGCAAATGTACGTTCCACCGTTACCACCCACCAATCTGCGCGGGTGCCATCTCATCAACGTTCTTTATCACGTCTACGTAAGTGTAAACGTTGTTTCAACTGTTGTTACGATAATTATCATTACTAAAGCGTCACACTCTCTCCTTGTTGCAACGTGTTTTTGCCACAAAGTTAATGCGCCTGCAGCCATTTACAGAAAGCACCGACTTTCTTCTCCACGGTTCTTCTTCCCATCTTTTTCTCTCCATTTTTCCATTATGAAAGTGTCACTTATTAAGTTTAAACGCGTTGCTTCAAGCGTAATAAACAGACTGCGGCATTTGTTGCATGCAATATGAAAAAATATAATATAATATTAAGATAATATAAATTTCTAATGATAAATTTGTTATATACGCGTGTACAATTATTTATATATTATACGAATCGTTTAATTTTCATTGAAGTTCAGTATCTATCATAAATTGTAACGTTAACAAAATGTTATACACGAGAAAGAATAATTTTCATGATGGAACAGTGCCACTATGTATACGAGATCTACTGTGCCATCAATCTTTTAAAATTCTCTGGTTTCACGGTACGCATATAAATTTCACTTGCCGTGTCATTTAACTTTCTCGAGTTTTTTGTCGCTCGATTCTTCCTCAAGACTTTTTTTTTTACCCCAAATACATATCGTCCAAGTCGTTTAAAACATTCTACTACAAACACGCGTACACGTAGATTTCTATCGGGAATAATCGGGAATAACGAACTTAGAAATTTGGATATATTTATATTATCGGATATTTTTATTATATTTATTATATTGTAATATTATATTTATATTTTTATTATATATGTTGTGATATGTTACAGTTCGTAATAAGTCCAAAGAGTCTGGACAAAGAAATCAAACTGCAAATACCAATCGTTCTAGCTACTTATCCCTTAAGACAGGAAGGTGCACCAGCGGGAACTGCACCGTCAAAAAGAGGAGCACATTACCCGTCAACGTTGCCGATATTTCGGCCATGGTTGGACGATAAGGCTTTCGAAATTCAGGAGTGAAGGTTTAATTAACTTTCACCATGATGTCTAGAAAAAAAGTCAAATATCGACGATAATGGTACGAAAGATATGAAAGAAATTGTCTGAACATTTGAAGAAAGTTAATACGCTTATAACAATACTTATCTCGTGTTAAACTTAACTAAAAGTGCTTACAAATGACAGATAAAGACATTGTTTTTACATTGTTGTTCCATTTTGAATCGTTTGTTTAATCGAATTTAGAAAGTATAGAATATAGAGTAACTTTTATAATTTAAAAATTTTAGATTTAAAAATATAGTCGTGATATATATATATATATATATATATATATATATATATATATATATATA